TACTATTACACAGAATGAAAGAAAACATGACTAGAGAACCGTAGCCTTTTGAAACAAGCCAAACAATACAACTTCAGGAACTATCAACAATGGACAGGCATTTTTAATGCGCGTGCGCGACTACTTGTTTTGAGCTTCGCGATTTTCGCTAGGGCGCAGGCGCCGAGCTGGTGGGCCGGCCCTTACGTCGTCGAGGCCATGCTGAACGACGTCGTGGCCAAAGTCCGGCTGCCCGGCTCCAGAAGACGCGCGCGCACCGTGCACACCGACAGACTGGCGGCCGCGGTGCACAGAGGCACTTGTAAATAGTTGCACTTTAATTTCCGTTCGTAAATGTCGCGGCTTAAAAATTCTAGTGATGTTAAATGGCTCCTCCTCTTTTAGAGGGGGGGAGTAATTTTAGGGAACTGATTCTCTGCCCGACGGCGAACTGAATCTCTGCCTGACGGCGCGCGCTCGGCGCTACCCCTCGCCACGGGCACCCTACGCGGTTGCCTGGTTATCGACGCTCAGACCACTACAGCCTTGCCCGGCTCTCACTCCTGACTTTCCCGAATAAACCCCTGCTCCCCTGACTTCGCCTCTCCTTGCCCACTTATTGCGCACTTTTTTTGCAATAACCACCCCATAATTTTGGCGATACTAGAGCGTTTTGTAGTAACTTTTATCACATTTTTTTCTGCGATAACTTTTTATTGCATTTTCTTTGTAGTCATTATCGCAAAAATGTGGTACTTAATTGCAAAATTTAACTATTAATTTTTTATTGCAGATATTTAGTTGTCATCATAGCAAATAAATGTGATAAGTTTTTTATTGCAAAATATATACAGTGGTTATCGCAGTTTGAATAACAGTGCTCTTGTCGGAGTGTAGTTGTGAGTACACGCTAAACAGAGTGGACTGAGTGAGCACTCTGTTGAGTTTGCAGAGCAATCTACATTGAAACATTGGACATGGTTGCAAGTCATGTCTTGACAAATTTTGATCTGCCACTTTGTAGAGTGGCTATCAAATACAGCTTTACTCCACAAGATGACTCATAACTTCTGGATTTGACATGTATTAATTTTGTAAGAGATGTTACCACAGAACACAGAATAGAGCATTCTAGTCGTCGCCGATCGAAGAACATAAAGAAGAACAAAACCGGAAGCCGGGAAGAAACGGAGTAGGTATCAAGCCCGGTTTCAACGAGAAATGTCGACAAATATTTTTATTTCCTGAGTCAAAAAGTGTTTGAAACAAACGAAAGTGCTTTTGAAAGAGATTCGACACAGAAAACTCAGAAACTAGCCCACTCAGAGACGTTTGGGAGGTTATGTTGCCGGGGCCAGTTCCGGCTTTGTTCTTCTTCTTGTTCTTCGATCGGTGACGACTAGAATACTCTATTGCCAAATATGAGGCAAGACGAGAAAAACTCAAAATCCAACCACTATCTCTTGGAGCATTAGTGCTATTCAACATGTTCAAACAGTGATGTAAAAAAGAGTATTGTGATTCTTCATTCACTTTTATTAGTGTCATGCAGCCAAACAATCAACTCATAACAGACCAGAGATTACCAAATTTATCATGATAGTCTTGGTTCATTTTACATTTTAACTTAAACAATTAATATTGTAACAAAATTAAAGGAGCTTAAGGGGGGGGGTAAAGTGAAGAAAATCGATTTTCGGTTTTTGCTTTTTTTCGACTCTTTGGGCCTTGGTACAACCAAACCTGACCATATTTCGACCCACAGCACCGTTAAATAGGCACAGGGAGCTTTTAATTCGTAGAATCACTGTGAGGTTAGGTTAGGCCCTTTAACTTTAAACCGGTTTTTCTCGGTATATTTTTTTTTTACCTTGCGCGCAGGATATCTCGGAGACCACAAGAGGTAGAATGTTGTGCGACAGCTTAAAATGACCAGTGTTCAAATAGCTAGAAGGCAAGGGAGAGTTTTTTTCAAAATTGTGTCTCAATCTTTAGATACAGGTCAATGAATGTCCAAAAGCGGCATAAAAACAGTCATGATTCTAGTTTTTAAGATTAATGCCGAAAGAAAACATGTTTTTGAAATCCGGCTCCCTTGTCTTCTTCATTTTGACCATAAAAAGATGTGGCAACTCCGTCAGATTTTTGGGACAACATTTGGAATTGAAATCCTGCGCGCAAGGATTAAAACCCAAATATGGACTAAATGTAAAATGCTTGCGAAAATTCAAAAAGTGCCACCAGACCCGCAACCAAAGATGGTAAAATGGTAAAAAGGCATGGAGAATCCAATGGTGATGTCCATTTTCATGTCAGGGTGACCAATATCTAAGAATAGAAGGCTGAAAAAACATGAAAAAACTCGAAATTTCACTTTACCCCCCCCTTAACAGCTAAATGAAGAAATTAGAACCAAGAAGCTGTTTACTTCTCCATGTACGATGTTGCATTTTATTGGCTGAGCGATAGCGAAGCCCGTTACTCCAGTGCGGTCGAAAAGTTTTGCCTGTCTGTGTGTGGGTGTGCACTACTCCTCCTGAACGGCTCTGCCGATGTAGCCGAGATTTTGCAGGCTTATTAGGTATGTTCTTGGCTCGGCACACGCGAAATTTCACTATCCTAGCTCAACTGGTTCAGATTTAATAACCGAAAAACACCTTAAAAACGGCGAAAAATCGAGTTTTCTACAGGCAGATCACTTCTGTCGAGAAGGTAAGGGGTCTGGGGGGCATCTAGAAAGAAGGGGGTCCGCCCCCCAGCAAGCAACAAGAGGTAACCAACGATGGGCAAGCCAATGCCCGCCGAAGGCAAGCTAGCGCCGCCGCAGGCCAAGGCAGGTACGCCAGGCGCGGATTGGAGGAACAGGCCGCGAGACATCGCGAAGCCTGTTACGACAAGGCGTGGTCTGGCGTAAACCTACCTTTGTTTCGGTAAGTCAGTCTTGCTATACCTGTTGCCGTCCAACCAGACATGTGACAGGTCGAAATGTTTGGGCGATAAATCTGTTCTAATTGTGTGCCATTGATTTTGGTCCTAAGCTTTTTGTTATATTCTCGTCGAACTTTAAGGCTTTTAGCATCGGTTTATCTTTTACCATATTTTTTTAAAATTTCATAAACATGACAAACAGATGGGTGTTAAGCTTTTAGTTGAGTTCTCAATGAAGAATCGTCTAACATTAAGGCTTTTTGTATCGGTTTATCTATTACCATATTTTTTAAAAGTTTCTTAAACACGGCAAACAGATTAGTGTTGAGCTTTTAGTTGGGTTCTCAACGAGGAATCGTCGAACTTTAAGGCTTCTTATATCGGATTATCACTAACCATATTTTTTAAAGTTTCACAAACAGATAAGAAGACAATTATTGTGTCTTCTAATTGTGCAATTTTAGTTTTGGTTTCTTGTATCTATTTGACCCTTTTTCAACATGTGTAATTTTGCCGTCGACTAATGGATCTTCTTATTTGAAGGCAAAATGAAAGAAAGAATTCGTTTGGAGGACCTTTCTTTTATTACCTCAATATCTGTTGGAGCACATCATAGACCCATTTACGTGTGTGTGTGTGTGTGTGTGTGCGTGCACTTCTCCTGAACGGCTCGACCGATCTGACTGAGATTTTGCAGAGCCATTAGGCATGTCCTTGGCTCGCCCAACACCAAAATTCAGCTTTCTATCTCTATCCGTTTGGTCATTTCAGCAAAAAAACACTTAAAAGACGGCAGGAAAGAGACAACTTTATTGGCTGAGCGATAGCGAAGCCTGTTACCCCAGTACCCAGGGAGAACTATAAGAGCTGCATAATATTCAGGTCAAATATTTTTTAGGAATTTATCATTATCTTGAATTTCTTTTAGATACCTCGGAAGCGCATTATATGCTTGAGCAGCATGGTCAGTGACTGCCGTATTACTAGTATGTTCCCTTGCCAGATTATTTTTATTTCTTGTTGAATATCCATGACTGTCACCAACTAATTTACAGTTTCCAAATCTAGCATGTTTGAAACATTGATATAGGTGAATAGAGTGAAACGTTAAAATATTAAGTTGTTTGAATAGTCCTCTGCAGGATTTTCTTCTACCCGCATACCCATAGATTATAATTTTTATAGCCTTTTTTTGTTTTTTGAAGATAGAATTAGTAATCCCAGTGGCACATGTAGGGTTTCCCCAGATAAGAGCCCCATACATTAAGTGAGAATGAAAATTAGCATTGTACACAAGTAGTACTTCAGATCTATTAAGTGTTTGCTTGGCCTGGGTAATACAGTAGAGACCCTTATTTAATTTTCTTATGCACTTCTCAATATGGGTACGCCATTTAAGGGTATTAGTTAATGTCAGCCCTAGAAAGATTACCTCTTTGACTATTTTGATCTCACCGCCATCAACGTCTATCTTTTCAATATCATCACTATTATTGAAGATCATTGCATATGTTTTTGACCAATTTATAGCAAGGTTCAGAGAAGTAAAAAGTTTGGCTACCTTATTTACAATGGATTTTGCAGTTTCAAGAATTTCATTAAGGCTATCACCTTTAATAATTATATTTGTGTCATCGACATATAAGACCGCTTTTCCTCCCAAGTTTCTTATGAAAACCTCAAGACAGTTTATATAAATCAGAAAAAGAAAGGGACCAATCACAGTGCCCTGCGGTACATTATATTTAACTGTTGTTATGATATGAAACAATGGAGAACATAACCTAGGCACAGCTTACTTGCAGTCATTCCCTTGTTTTTTAACCACTGCCCTAGTGATCCTGGCCAGGACCTCCAACCCTTTCTTCCTTTTGTTCTTCCCCTTAATACCCTGGCCGCTGAATACCATTGGCCGTGCACCCCCACTCTCCACTACTGTTCTTCCTTATGTTCTTCTGCATCTGTAATATAAGAGCGCGTCGCCAGACGTCCGCTACCATTCTGTACACGGTCACCTACTGATAATACAGAGCCTTCCGTCTCGACGAGACCCCTGACTTCCCTTTTCCCTCCAAGTCCCTTACACTGCTACACTATAACACTGTTTTCCAATCAGATTTTACTCTCTTTACTTTTGAGTCTATATCAAAGTGTTGTACCTCAACGCATTGTTTCCTATCAATGAGAAAGCTCTTCATAATTTCATATGCATTTCCTCTCAGGCCATTCCTGTAGAGTATCTCAAATAATAAGTCATGTCTGACACAATCAAAGGCTTTGCTTAGGTCCAGGAAAATTGCTATAGTTACTTCTTTATCTGATTTTGCCTTAGATATAATATCCACTGCATAAGTAACAGCATCAATTGTAGATTTTCCTTTTTTATAGCCAAATTGATATTCATTTATTAAGTTATTTGTTCTGAGGAAGGGTTCAATCCTATCCAGAAGTATTTTTTCAAATACTTTTGAAAAAGAAGATGTGATTGTTAGAGGCCTATAGTTACCTGGTTTATCAGTAGCACCACTTTTATGTATAGTTTTGACAATACAGTCTTTAGTTTTAGAAGGGAATTTCCCAGTTCTCATAGCTATGTTGCAAATATGTACAAGTGGAGCCAAGATATTTCCTATGCAGTTTTTAATAATTATGTTAGATACCTCATCATTACCAGCAGAACTTGAGCTTTTCAGACTTCTAACTATTTTTTCGACTTCCTGGTCACTAGTTGGTTTCAGAAAGATTGACTTATGGAAACTACCAATACTATCAAGATCAAACTGTTCTTTATCAAGACTGTTACATATTTCAATAGGTACATTTAAATAGTGATCATTAAAGGCATTAGCAACACTCTTAGGGTCATCTATCTTTTGATCATTAATGTTCAGTGTGACATTTATATTCTTGTAACCTTTATCAGTTTTTTTTAATTCATTTATTATTTTCCAAGTCTCCTTGGTTACATTGTTAGAATTGTTGATTCTTTGGCTATTTGATTGTTTAGCATCTTTATTGACCTGCTTTCTGTATTTTTTTCTTACCTCCTTCCGTATTTCATTTAGAGCAGAGGTATCCCCAATATTATTTTTGATTGCAAGATTAATGGTATCCAAAGTATTTTTATATTCATAGGTCTCTTTAGATACAAATTTAGGTTTTTCATTAAATTTTTTTACTTCTTTGGAGATTTTTGGGCGGAGCCTGTTAAAATGATATTCAAAAATACTTATAAACTCATTATAGGCAATATCAGTATCCCCACTCTGAAAGACAGTTTCCCATGTTTCCTTTGATAATTCCACATTTAGAAGCTCTATAGTACTATCGTTAATTTTTCTTGTTTCAATTTGGACTTTCTTTTGATTCTTTTCATTTGCATATTGAAATTTTAGAATCTGTACGTTATGATCAGATATGTGTGGATCATAATTTTCTATCGTCATATGATCAGAAATTTTTTCACTAAAATTTATAAGTATATTATCAATACATGTCTTTGTAGTTTGGGTTACCCTAGTTGGTTCCCTAAACATCAGTTTAAAATTACTTGCTTCTATTAATTCATTAAAAGATTTAGCTCTATCATTATCAGATAGTGCATCAATATTAAAATCACCACAGATTACCGTTTTAGTTTGAGTTGAGTCTAATAAGACATTCTGTAATGTGTCTAATGCCAAATCAAAGTTCATCACATTATCATTTGTTGGGGGTCTGTATATCCCTACAATATTCAGAATAATGTTGGGGTGCCGTATTTTGACAGCAGCCATTTCAATTACATGCTCTATCGAGCTATCACAGATTGATTGACTAGAATATGTATACTTTTCAATTTCTTTATTTACAAGAATTAGTACCCCACCATAACCCTTTTCTCTAGAGAAGTTTGAAACATTCGAATATTCCTTAAGACATAGCACGAAAAAACGAAGTGTTGTAACCTCTCATTACTAGACACCAGCCAGTTTTAATAAACATTTTCAATCTTCATTTGCTCAAAAACTTTTATAGTGAAATGAAAAATACTTCATTTACGCCTTAAAGAGGAGGCTTTGATCTTTCAAATGAGTACATTACATATGGTTTTCCTTGTGTGCATAGCGAGTTGAATCATGTAGCTAACAAAAACCGATTTTGAGCACAATACTCGTTCTCTTCACATTAACCTAAATTTTGAAATGAGGGTGTAAAAAACGAGCAAAAAATAAGCTGCGCATAGCTGCGCAAACGGAAGTTCTTGGCCGATTTGTGTGAGCGCGCAGCGGCAAAATCGCGTTTCGTTCACTACAGATACCGCCACACAGTGGGCGGAATGACCGCTTTCGACAAGAAAAATGTCGCGATAGGTACATGAAAATTCGTATCTGGGGGTTTTAGGGTCATCTAAACACGATTCTGAAGTTAAAACAAGAAGTAAAGAAAAAAAGTTAAAAGGAATGGTGCGAAATATCAATGAATTGATATTAAATAAGGGTCATTCTCCGCCGAATCGACGATGGTCTGTTTTTGAGGTCGATGGATTCGGTCCAAACCACTTTTAATCGATGCATTGGGGCCCCAAAGGAACCTCTCTAAGAGGATTTTTTTTTAAAATCATTTTTCCCAGAGTTATGGCCAATACCATTTTGGGAAATTTAGTGAAATTTAGTGAAAACAGTACTTTTCATCTTAGCCTATGAAAGTGTGATGTGAGACCCCTTTGGCTTATATTTCCATTTCAACTAGCTTAGAGGGGTCCTGAAAACCTTCTCCTCTGACTGAAGGTGAAAAATCAAAAAATTTCCATTTTTTACATAGGAAAATTTATGAAAAAAAGTGAAAAATGAGCATAACTTTTTTACGTGGTTTGAGAATTTTGACGATACTTTGTCCTAAGATTCACTTTAGGTGACCGCTTAAAACTACAAAATATTTCATCTGGCAATACGTATCTTCACTGAATCGGGTTGATAAAACTTAATTTTGAGCTAAAATTTTACTCGAAACTTATGACGACAAAGCGCATTGACTCCAAAATCAATTTTCAAAGGTCAAAAAGTTACTTATCATATATCTTGAAGTCAGGGCAGATTAAACACCTCAAGAATCCATCCCATTGATGCTCAAAATGTTGATCACTCCTTATTTTAGGTATTTTGCTCTCCATTTAAGTCTAAACCCATAAAGTACATAGTGGTTGGTAGTATTGGTGGTAATGATTGTCCGTTGTTTCAAACAGCTGATTCTAAAGTGTCTGCAATGTTTGTAAGTGGTCTGTACTAGTAAAACTAAGGCATAGTATTATGCCTGTCCTCAATCGTAAAATCTTACAGTGTACTCCTGCGCTTGACTTCAAGCGTAAGAAGAGCTATGTTTGAAGCCAAGCGTAATCAAGCCACATCAGAAATTCTGACCCACTGCTTCAAGCGTTAAGTCAGTACACTCAATTTCAAGCATAGTGAAAACCCATGCTGCATTTCACAAGCACAGGAGAATGCGCACATTCATAATGCAAAATCAGCTCAATTTAATTTAAGATAATATCTTGGCTATCTTAAACTGAGCTGATAAGATAATATCTTAGCTCTCTTAAATTGTCTTATCATCTTATGAGCTCAGTTTAAGATAGCCAAGATATTATCTTAAATTAAACTGAGCTGATTTTGCATTATGAATGTGCGCATTCTCCTGTGCTTGTAAAATGCGGCATGGGTTTTCACTATGCTTGAAATGGAGTGTACTGACTTTACGCTTGAAGCAGTGGGTCAGAATTTCTGATGTGGCTTGATTACGCTTGGCTTCAAACATAGCTCTTCTTACGCTTGAAGTCAAGCGCAGGAGTACACTGTAAGATTTTACGATTGAGGACAGGCATAATACTATGCCTTAGTTTTACTAGTACAGACCACTTACAAACATTGCAGACACTTTAGAATCAGCTGTTTGAAACAACGGACAATCATTACCACCAATACTACCAACCACTATGTACTTTATGGGTTTAGACTTAAATGGAGAGCAAAATACCTAAAATAAGGAGTGATCAACATTTTGAGCATCAATGGGATGGATTCTTGAGGTGTTTAATCTGCCCTGACTTCAAGATATATGATAAGTAACTTTTTGACCTTTGAAAATTGATTTTGGAGTCAATGCGCTTTGTCGTCATAAGTTTCGAGTAAAATTTTAGCTCAAAATTAAGTTTTATCAACCCGATTCAGTGAAGATACGTATTGCCAGATGAAATATTTTGTAGTTTTAAGCGGTCACCTAAAGTGAATCTTAGGACAAAGTATCGTCAAAATTCTCAAACCACGTAAAAAAGTTATGCTCATTTTTCACTTTTTTTCATAAATTTTCCTAAGTAAAAAATGGAATTTTTTTTTATTTTTCACGTTCAATCAGAGGAGAAGGTTTTCAGGACCCCTCTAAGCTAGTTGAAATGGAAATATAAGCCAAAGGGGTCTCACATCACACTTTCATAGGCTAAGATGAACAGTACTGTTTTCACTAAATTTCACTAAATTTCCCAAAATGGTATTGGCCATAACTCTGGGAAAAATGATTTAAAAAAAAAATCCTCTTAGAGAGGTCCCTTTGGGGCCCCAATGCATCGATTAAAAGTGGTTTGGACCGAATCCATCGACCTCAAAAACAGACCATCGTCGATTCGGCGGGGAATGACCCATAAATGACTCGTTCTTTACACATTTTTTTGTGAATGAAGGATCTCTAGTGGTTATCAAAAGTGGCCAGGTGGTTGAATAATTGTTAAGCAGGAAATGAAAGTACGTTCAAAATCTACCGCCATCACAGTAGTTCGTTTGAAATCCGCGTGGTGGCGCCACGGGTCGCCGATGTTATCGGCAGGCCGTCCAAAGGAAGGTTGAAAAACTGCAGATATTTTAAATGTTTGTTTGCTAAGAGAGATAATCCTCAAATGAAAAATGTTAAACAAAGCACAGGGAGATGGATTTTTGCTATGGCACATGCAAATTCGATATGAATCACGAAAAAACGAAGTGTTATAACCTCTCATTTCTAGACACCAGCCAGTTTTAATAAACATTTTCAATCTTCATTCGCTCAAAAACTTTCATAGTGAAATGAAAAAATACTTCATTTACGCCTGGGTCATTCCAGGAGTGATTAGCCACCTTTTGCATAACCACCTCCGATGTCGCCCATATTTTGCCCAAATGTTGTCCTTAGTAAGGTAAGGTTCTGTGCGAAATTTCACCGCTGTAGCTCCAATAGTTTAGAAATGGCAGCCTCCTAAAGTTTTGCAATTACCAAAAGTTTTTATTTTTACTAAAAAGTGAAAATCGGCCACAGATCGGGCAATAATAGTGATAAATGGGTGCGGTAATGTTCTCTTGACGTAATTTTGGACAAGGAATCCGAATTTGCCGGTATGGGGGTCCTAGGTTAACTCCAAACCTATGTTTTTAGCGAAAAACACCCAAAAATCGCCTATTTTTGACCTGGTTGGAAAAATCGACGCCAATCCAAACATGACTGTTTCTGTGGTGCAAATAGTAGCCCTGGACAAGGACTTTGATATTCCGTGCCCCAAAGTTGTGGTACCAGCCCTCGTTTAGGCGCTACAGGACCACAAAGATAGCAAATAACTCAAAAAAGTACTTTTTTCGAACTTTTTTTGCTTTTCTTAAAAATGCTTTCTGAGACCAAAAAGCCATCATAAAACACAAAAATGACATTAAAACTCAATAAAGCAAGTGGTACATTTGTCTGATAGGCCACCCACTAGAAGTTTGCCGCTAGAGGCCTACAGATGGCGATTGCAGCCACCCGGCCCAGCGTTCCACTAGCGCCTGGCAGGTAGGCTTGCCCGGCTGTCCTGAGGCGCTGAGGTGTTGCCTACCATTCGCTTGAAGGCGGTGCTGAGATTCCCATACTTTTTAGTGCTCGCGGTACATCGCCGATTCGTGGAATTAACTGCAAATCTTCATACCAAGGTGCCACTTGGTACAGTTGTTCCTTAGACCCATCTGGTCGATTTGGCCCGAGAAACATTAAAAAAAGTAAACAGAGTAACTTGTTGCCCTCTTTTCCACCAAGCTACACGGTTAAAACGGTTCCTGGTTTTCCCAGGAACTCCCTGGAAGTCGCCTATGCCTTCACCATTGGCTTCCTGGGAAAACCAGGTTCCGTTTTTGCCGTGTACATTCAACTTGGACTTTGCTGGGGTTGTTCTTATAAAATAAAACAAACTATATTGATAGCAAAATTTTCTGCGCTTTTTCATTGCTTGGAAAACTTCACCCCTGGGCTATCCACTACACAAAATCTTTTCAGTTGGGTAAGTTCCTTCCACTCGAGCGCCTGGCAGGCAGGCAACACCTCAGCGCCGCAGCACAGCCGGGCAGGCCTACCTGCCAGGCGGGTCATTCCAGGAGTGATAAGCCACCTTTTGCATGACCATCTCCGATGTCGCCCAGGCCTGCCCGGTTGTGCTGCGGCGCTGAGGTGTTGCCTGCCTGCCAGGCGCTCGAGTGGAAGGAACTTACCCCACTGAAAAGTTTTTGTGTACACTGAGACAAGGTGGTGGCCCAAGGCATTGAACACAAGTTTGCCTGCACGTGGATAAACTCAATGGATTTCACATTTGGGTGGCGTGAGAGGTGCTCTGAATCTAGGCGCAATGGGTGCCCCGAATCTGGGCAGCGTTGGTTTACATTGGGTCGGACCAACCCCAAAGGTGTTCAGGTTGTAGGTGCCTGGGGCCAGCATAGATAAGTAAGCTCAGTATTTACACGACCAAGATGCC